GAGAATATTGAATTGGCCAGCGACGAAATCTGCTTGCGCTACTTTGGCACCTTGACCATCGCCATGGTCAACCTGTACGTCGTGCTGCTGGAAGCCTAGTTGCTCTGCTTCACGGCAGTTGATGCCTGTGGCGACGCTGAACAGCTCTGGGACTCCAAGATCGATGAAGTCACTTCCTGGCGTACGGATTCGTTGAAGATCGTTATGATATTGAACTTCGGTAACTTCCTCGATCCGAATTTGGACGCGACCACACGGAAGATGAACTAGACCACTTCCGTCCTGTACCACGCGGTGTTTGGTGAAGAGGCGGCATCTGGGCGTCTTGCTAGCGTTGAGATCAATTTTCTCGAGCGCCTCGAGATAGCGGCGGAGAAGAAGCTGGATGGAAAATGCCGCAGCTTGCCATGTCGACGGTCCGTCGAGCACTTCTCGCATATCAGTACGAATTTTGGTCGGGCACGGGTGCTCCGGAATGGTCGGCGGAGGCACAGTGGTGACAGTGCGATGCGGCTTGCCGTTCTTCCAGCGGTCGTCGATGTACTCAATATTGTGGATTTCGCCGACCATATGGAGTTCCTTCTCATATCCCTCGATGATAGCTCCGGGTATGATGTCCCTGGATTTGGTCATGGGATGGTAGAACAAATCTGCCAGACTAAGCAGTGTTCCATCCAATCTTTTCGGGAGATTATCCAGTCCGTAACGATCCAACATCATCTTGTCGATAAGGCCCAGCTGATGGTACATGTCTTCACGAATGTTCCAGTGCACTCCTAGAAACGGGTCGCCGCGAAGTTCAACACCGACTGCACGGCGGCCCATAGCTATAGCCCACAGCATCGCCAGCATGTTTGCGCCTCCAAGGCCGATGGCAACAAAATCGGCATCTTTGACTCCGGATAGCGTGGTTGAGCGACTGCCGCCCGGAACTTTGGTGTTCTGGGTCCGTTCTTGGGCCAGATACTTGGTCGTTGAGTAAAGATTGCTGTTACTGGAAGCCATTGGGGCTAGAATGAAGTTCAAGTTGAATTGACGAGTGAGAACAAGACGGGTACAGCGCTTCTTCAAGGGACCTGAAAACCAGTATCCCCGCTGAACCATTCCATGCGGGACGAGGCGTCTGGCGTTTACGTTGCAGAGGTGACTTACCGTTCTGGTACATCTGCCCCGTCAAGGCCCTGGATGCCTACCATGCTGAGTCTAGGTTCCCCACAGTTGCTAACTCAAGAGGAACTAATACAGTTCGCATCTTACCCGTGAGATAGGCGGCGTGGGGCGGCACGCTGCCACGTATCGTTTATTGGCGCGACGAAATATGTGCCCCTACAAGCGTGAATCCTGTCATGCGTGTCCTGCACGTTGTGTGGTAGTTTCGGTGCGACGGGCCTTTCATAGAGTAACCCATGAAGACTGTTGTGGCATTCCCGTCGGAGCTGTTATGGAAGCAACTACATTTGGCATGTAGTATCGATAGTAAGAATCCAATCGCCTCTGGCTGAAAACATGTGCGGATCCTACAAGTGACAACCAGGTTCTGCACGACTGTGACGGTGGTTTTTGAACTCCTCCACGAGCGCACGACGATAGGGTAGCGTGATCTAGAAGCGGGATATCATGAGCTTTGTGCTAACGATGCATGAAGCACAGCCGGAGTAAAACCTTCTTTCCCCCTCACAAAGCGGGCTGAGCAAGGCGATACATTTGTGACAGGCGCCGCGATCAGGTGGGTATGTTGCTCAAGGCCTGCCACGCCATCTAGAGTGGAGCCTTACTTCCATGGATGCAGTAAGCGACGCATGCAGCAATCAATGCACCGTGAAGGCGGGGAGTTTGCCGAGGCCAGGAACGATCGAGGGTGCCATCGCGGAAGGAATTTCGTCGATTCGGAAACGGATGTGACAACGAGCTGTACACAGTATACGGTCGCAACTTGTTCCGGCAGCTGGTCGCGAGGGGACGAAGGATTGAGGGTGACCGGGAGCGACAGAACGGAGATGTGCCACGCTTGGCGCTAAAACACGCGTCCGAAGCGCGGAACGCGCTCATAGCTCGATGGACCCGGCATCGACTGCGACCCCACAATCGAGGTTTAGCTCTCACAATCGCGCGCCTCGTGTACAATTAATCGCAACATTGCGTCGCAATGCTTGAAAGCGGATTTGACATGTGCACTCCTCATCTCCCACGTGGGACACGCCACGCGAAATCGCCACTACTACGCATCCCTTCTACCGTCGAACGTGTTCAGTCTCTCAGCAACCGCTTAGCATATCATGTGCTCCAACATGCGACCTGACAACGCCTGGCTAAGCACGAGAATCAGAGGCTATTGCCATAAATCTGTTGCAACAGATCAGCATCGCGCCCCTCGACCGACGCGTATAATCCCGACTATCGTACACGACACACCAAGGTTACCACGCGCCCGACCCTCCATCACTTCGCCGTCATGCCCTCCAGACTACGAGTACAGTCTTGCAGCACGCTGCTGTTTCGCCGATCACATGTGCCGCATGGGTAATGCCACGCCCTTCCTCTTGCGCGATGCGGATATACGTGGACCTAGCAGCTGGGAAGCTATGGAAACATGGGACACACAATCATCATACATCTCGACGTTGACGTCGGAACAAGGCCTCTGTCGGACTATATACCCAAACAACGAAGAGAGAGCGCACCACCTCCACGCGCAGGTGCAGGAATACGTTTAAGACTATGCACGGCTCAGAGTGTACAAGCGTCCCTGGAGAGAGAACTTGTCTCGATCTATGAGCGCATGTGTACACGGCATCCATCTCCCGAAGCAACTACCAACGTCAAGGTCTGCTTTTCCCGGCCAGTAGGGACAACAGGGTCATCCTTCGGAACAGTCATGGAATGGAAAATTTGTACCAACCTCGCTACGGTATATCCCGCCTCCAGCAGAGCAAACTCTTGACCCAGGCAAGCTCGTGGCCCGCCATTGAAGGGAAGATACCCGTACCCTGCATCTCGCAACAGTGATCCATCCTCCCACCTCTCAGGGCGGAACTCGAGTGCATCTTCGCCGTAGATGTCTGTACGTCGATGCATAGCGTATACGCAGTAACCGACAGCCTCGCCTTTCCTGACTAATATCGGCGACTTTCCATCTGGGCCTCCTCCAACAGGAAGTGTCGTCGTCTTCAATGCTGCACGAGAGTTGACCGGCACGGATGGGTAGAGGCGAAGTACCTCCTTCAAAATGAGATCAAGATACCTCATCTTCTTCAAATCCACTCGACCTGGTCGAGGCGCATGCTGTCCGAGGCCTACTACTGCCTCTATTTCCGAACGTAACCTTTCCAAAACTTTAGGGTGGCGGACCAGCAAGCGCAAGGTCCAGGTGAGGCAGCATGCTGTTGTGTCTCTGCCCGCCAGTAAAACGTTGAGACACTGGTCGCGAAGTTCCTTCTTGTTCCGAGTCTCTTGGATGAGCGCGTCGATAAACACATAATGCTTCTTGTCCTCGGCTTCTACTTTATCGGGTTCCGTACTCTCCGCATTGTCCAGTGCTCTCTGAATCGCGTCGTCAACGAAGCGGTGAGAAGTCTTGCAAGCTTGCCAGAACTCGGGAGTACTCGCAAGCCAGTACAAGTCTCCCAGCCTGCCACGATGCGACAAGTAATCCTGGCCCAAATTGAAGGCTGCTGCAAACTCAGACTCTTGTCCAGCAATGTCGCTGCTTTGCAAAGAGCTCAATGTTTTGCCAAAAAGCAGGAATGTCGTCGTGTCGAAGGTCAAGCGAAAGAATAACGGTTGGAGATCAACAATGCTGTCTGGACGAATTTGATCGATGAGGCTTTCGACCGACTTTTTCATCTCCTCGAAGTTCTGGTAGCGATTGGAAGTGAATTGGGGACGGAGTAGCGCCCGCGAGTGTCTCCATGCTGCACCGTCTTGGGTAAAAATCCCGCTTCCCATCAATGGAGCAAAATGCTTGGGTCGGAGCCCAAGACTGAAGTCTACGATAACGTCAACGCCTGTGCGTGTCCTAACTATGCGGTTTTGGCGAACCTTCAAACTGGGTAGAGAGGATTTCTTCGATGTTGCGTGGTTCAACCGTATTGATACCGCGAGCTCCGACTATGTAGTGTCAACTCCGCAGTGTTGTTGTGCCTTCAAGGACTCACGCAACTGCTGCTCATGCGTCGGACCGCTAGAGTTCACTATGTCCACGAAGAACTGCAGGATGGTCTGCGCTCTTGCATGTTGCCTCGCTTTGAGGAGCAGATCCAAGCCCTGTGGCCACTTTGCTGCCCACTTGGGCGGTGCTTTGCACCCCATCTGCGCGGCATATCGGTCTTCTTCCTGGTGATCATCAGCAGCATCATCTTTCATTCTATCAACCACGCCTACCTCGCGCTGCATTTGGCGCTTCCAGACCTTATAAACTAGCAGGCTGCAGACGACTAGGCACAATAACATGCTTATAGTCGCCATGTTACTCAGCTCGATGAAGGTGATCAAAAATGATTGACTATGAGCGTTGTAACTACGGAGCCGATACGACGCTTTTGCGACAATAATCTTGCCCGCAGGTTGAACCCGGGAAGTCTCAAACACCGAGTATCTAGGCAAACGCTTCAGGTTTGTTTTTGTCGGCTGACTATATATATTTGGGTCAGTGCACGGTACTTGCAACAGCGGTAGGGTGTTGGCCATTAGGCGCTTTGTCCTGTGGCCTCGCCAGTAAGAAGACGGTGATGAAGCCAACACTAGTGTGTTGGTCAAGCTTGGCTCGTGCCGCGATCCTTACCGCAGTGTCTGTACTGTTGCAGACGTCTACAACTGGTCATTTATGCTGCTAAAAAAGGTGAAGCAGCACAATACCAGCAGGAAAAGGAGGGAAAAGAATAAGAAGACATCGGACAGAACGCACCCATCCCCGATTACCTAACCCATGTATTAGGCAATCGCTACAAGCTCTATATTGTCTACGTCAGTGCGGTGCGCACCAACGCGCTTACATCGCCATCTTATTCCGCAGGCGCATGAGTCTTCCTCCTCTTGCTCAAAGGCTCCACAAACATATTCCCTAGCTTATACTCCAATTCTTCTTTCCTAAGGACTCGGAGGTGGCCGGCAATATCACTACCCATCTTATCACCCGAGAAGACGGAACCTAATCGCCTCTGCGATCTCTCGAACTCCGCTTTCGCTTTCTTTCTCAGCATTCCGTAACCTGGTCGCTTTTCTGGATTGACCTGGAGACAGTCAATTACTAGCTGGTGCAAGACATTGGAATACATCGCATCGTAACCTGGAATGTCTGTCGATGTGAACGTATTGCCTTCTGCAAATTGGAAAGAAGCTTTTATGCTGTCCTCGCATATCTGGTCCGACGTCTCTCTTCCAAGCGTAGTATGCATCAGCTTCCAGATGACCATTCCAAGCGACCAAATATCTGCTTTGGCATTAACAGGATGATGGTGTGCTGCCTCTAGGATGATTTCCGGGGCTTGGAATCCTTTCGTTCCCCAATCTTTCCTCCCCTCTGAAGCATCTGTTGCTGGTGAGATCCTCTTGACGACATCGTAGTCAGCAAGAAGAGTTTTTGGGTACGCTAGGTAGGGTTCCTTAGCGGTACTGATAAAGATGTTCGCTGGCTTGACATCTAAGTGCACCATGCTGTCTTTGAACTTCTCCCTGGGCTTGTTTCCACCTCTTTTTCTTTTCTTTGCCATTTGTCCCTCCTTTCCGACTTCTGGGCCATTCTCTGGTCCTTCCGCCGTCTTGACTTCGTCGAGCGTCTCTCCGCACACCCCCGTGTTTAGGGTACATATGGCATCGGCCAGTGCATGAAAGACCATCCAGATAAACTGCTCTGGTATTTGTTTGTCCAAATTCTCTTCCTGGTAATAAACTTTGAGAAGTTCGCTGAGATCTCCGTGCTCGGCGTAATCAGAATACAAGCGATACATTAGCGTACCCTCTTGAGAGGCAGCCTGGATGTGATGGCAATGATCACAAAGCTCCAGTTGTCGACTGATATTGTATTCATCTTCGACAAAATTCACCATATTCTGCGAACCACAACGTATCTTCTTACATACCTTCCGCTAGCTGATGTTAGTACTATTTAGCGACGTAGGAGTTGATGAAGATACTAACTTTCAATATCCTACCCGTGTCGTCGCATAGCACGTACAGGCATACCACTGTGCGCATCTTTCTGGATCCACTGAATCTAGTACGAGAGTCCATCAGCGTCTTGCACCATCGCCATGCTTGCGTTGCGTCGTCATGTGGTTCGTCGAGGCCCCTCTTCCTCGTTTGGGGAGGTGCTGCTCTACCAGTATCTGCTTCGGTAAGACCGACCCTTGCTATTGCGATCTCGCCATCACTAGGCTCGTAATGAGACGTTTCTGTCTCATTCGATGCTTCCGGGTTTTCGGCCTCAGCGGGTGTCGCTACGCCATGCAACGGGTCTTGTATGTCGCGAACATTATCTTCTCGGGCTCCCGATTCTGCCTGCTTACGGCCTCCATTAATCACTTCTTGGGGAGTGTCCCTAGAAGACTCTTCTTCGCTCTCAATCTCACGATCTGGCGCATGGCTGACCGCCCCAGATGCGGCACGGTTGATGTATTCCTGTTGCGCCGTGGATGTCGTCTTATTCCATACCCGTGAAAGCACACCAGCCCCATCAATCCCGCCCTTGTACTCCGTTAAGAATAGCAAATATCCACGCCGCGCATCGTTGTTGGGTAGTGCACTGAAAAGCTCATTGTATCTCTGCGTCGAGCCGTCAGGTAAAGCCAGCGGATCTGCCATGTATGTGGTCCAAAGTTATTTTGCGCAGTACCGAAGGTAGCTCTTGTTTTGATCACAAGAACGCAAAAAAGCCCCAGGTATTCTTTGATTATATGCTCCTTGTCTTAGGTCGATAATGTATCGAACAAAGGCTCTATACTTCATTGTTCGTGGTGTGTTTGCGGCCACACCCACATCCTGATCTTCGAGTAGCTAGCCCTGAAGACACATCTTACAGACCTGAATCATTCTAGACCATGTATATAGAACGCACCGATGAGATTCGGTGTATTAGATGATGACTTTCATAAAATCACGGCCAAAGATGTTTGGTATCGGCCGTTCATAATCAGGTCAAAATGTCCAGCAGGTGAATACCTTGTACACCTGGTTCCTGTCGTATGAGGGACACACGAATACATTATAGTTAAGGTTTGTATTTTGAGTGAGCATCAAACTATTATTTGCATCCAAATTCGTCTTGGTTTGGCTCGTGCGGGAGTGATGACTGCCTAGGTGCTGCATCGGTCTCCTCGCATACCGATTGACCCTGGACCTTCACTTGATTACCTAGGTAAGAGGGCGTTGCACTTAAAATCTTCTGGAACAGCAGATCAAAAGCTAGCTGGAAACGATTTTCAGATTACCTTTGGTGACGTAACACTCATATTAACATGGAAGGCACCTTCCTTAAGGTTGAGCTTTGCTCCCCAACACGGCAAGCGCCCCTCACCTCCAATTTTCCTACGCTAATCGCTCTCTGTCTTCTGGCTACACTTCTGGATATTATGAAGTAAGACACGAAAGTTCATCTATCAATCAGTGCGAGCGCAACGTTGCCGCGCGGTATTGTCAACGTCGCGCTTTCCATTCGACAAAGATCTCGGTCGAGACCCATCACTCCTACCCTCCACACCCAGTTATGGCGCAAGAGCAGATGAAGAACACGCGACAGCGACCTCTATCAGGTCCATTAATGCCTTCGCAACACCGACCATTCGTCGGACCTACCCCAAACATGTTGCCGTCCAAATTTCCAGCCAGGTCCGAACGAAATGCAACGGGCGGCCAGGCCTTCCTGCCTCCCATGGCACCACCTCACTGGCCTTCTTTTCCGCATCTCAACTATCCATTCGAAAATTCATATCCTGATCTCACAGCCAGACGCCGAGAACACCCACTTCCGTTCAGCATGTCGCGCAACGAGCACAATGTCGACCCTAACACTGGCGCAAGAAACATCGATCTAAAACAGCCGGCGTCACCGACGCAAGGCAGTGGTCATACAAATTCCGCTGACCAGCGACATGACTCTCTGACTAAGGGAGACACTATTCACGTCTCGCCTGCACCGCTTCCGACGGGCTGGAACGGTAGTCGTGTTCCATCAAACAACATTCCGAGGAAGGCGCCGCTGGCAGCTCGCTCTCCAGATGACATCTCACCATTCATAGCGAGAAAGATACCGCCAACGAAGCAACAGAGATCCGCGAGTCAACCAAAGGCAGCTCCCGGCCCCTCACAAGGCAGCCGAGTACGCCAACAGAAGTCGTTCAATACGCCGCCGTTGGGTACCCCTAAGAGAGGACGACCGCGACTAGACGATGGGGCTCAAGATAATAACGCAGCTGGCGGGCTGAGCAGCCAGGGAAATGATCACATCGGTCAAAAAATCAGCGCGCAGCCTCCCATCGGCATGTTTGCGCCTCCACAGGTATCGTCCGCGACACCACCAAAACCCAGCAGACCAAAGCCAAGGCATAGCTACGTCGTTCCTCTGGAGTTGATAGGCACAAAAAAAGCCCTTGGTAATTGGTTATTGCTCAAAACTATCGGGAACACTCGCTGATAACATTGCTTCTAGGCCCAGACAGCTGGAACGAATACGTATACCTCATGGAGCAGCTCTGGACCGAAGAAATCACCTTTGACGAGTTTGGCGCCCGCACGCAACGGATATTCCAAGTGATCGATGAGGGCATTCGGAGGAGGTTGAACAATACTGTGGCGATGAAGATGATAGTGCCGCGGCTAGAGGAAGAGCGGAAGAGAGGTCAGTCGACTAAGGGCACGGAAGACGTCTAGGTTAAGCTCTACAAGGGCCATCGGGCCCGCGCATCATGGTGAGGTCGTGGACATCGGACTATGGGAGTCATGCATGCAAGATGCTAGAAAAGTTCAAGGCTATTCTAGAAGTACTCGGTGATGCCCGCATAGACGATCAATTCCAAGTACCCGCGGCATGGCCTTCAAAGAGATGACGACCTTCGCCTTAGCTTATTTCCATCCTCGTGTGCTTGCTTCTTCCTCAGTTTTTCCAACCATAAATCGTCCTCACAACGCTTGCCGCCTATCAACTGCTCATAGGTTCCGTTGTCCTTCCAAAGACGGTCCAAGCCCATGTATATGCAAAGCAAGGCACCGTTTGGTACCGTGTAGTTGATCTCGTCGCGAAACTGCTGCGTCGCTACTTCAAGTTTCAGAAGTGACTCTCGGATCGCCGTGGCACTGATTGTGGGACAAGCCGTAAGAGAAAGAGGATTGGCGTTCCGATTGCTAGGGATGAAGATGATGTAGCCACGTTTGCGGGTCAAGCGTGTCCACTGAAGTGTGTTCTTGGTGAAGTGACAATGGGCTAAGATAGTCGCGAGCGGGTGCTTTGAAGCCCTTATGTCTGGTTGTACATACGTTAGCAACAAGGTACGACCGAGCAACACCGGAAAGGAGACTTACCGAACGAGAACGACCCATTTTTCAGGACACCCTCAGGGAAGACCTTGCGCATCTTGGCGCAAGGCCAGCACGGCCAGCACGGCCAGCAATCTGGAGTTGCATTATCCTTGCCTGTCCATTCTTGGCCTTCGTTCTTCATCTCTTTCCACTTCTCACATTCTTCCAACTGTAGCAGGCCACTGCCGTCTTCAGGCACAAAGTCCATGGGTCGTGTGACATCGCTGCTAACGCACGTCCTGCCATCCCAACCCCACAGTCCGTTGGCCATACTCTTCTGGGTGATGTGGTCGCCTCCGTACAGCGTTGGAAAGGAGACTTTGAAGCCACCCAACTTCGCTAATCGCTTGACTGTTGCCATAAACATGTCCAACCTGTCGTCATCGTCCTCTGGGAATACCCACGCGAATCTCCCTAGCACCTGGTCTTTCCAGAGTTCGCGGCGCTGGTAGTGCGAGAGTATGAACGCTTTACCCTTGTTGTCAGTAACATGATCTTTGGAATCTAGACAGTCGTCACTGAGAGCAAAGATCATGACTGCGATGGTATTCGCATCCGTGTTTAGATAGGTGTGCCAGAGAAGCGCGGCGTGACCTGCATGTGGTGGATTGAAACATCCGGGGTAGATTACAATACGGTTCTCCCGGCCGCGTTGGAGCTCAGGTCCTGGAGATCTGGTGAAGATGCGCGGCGAGGGGTCGGAGAATCCTTGCATGTCTTCGTATGCGCGGTGAATGTGGTCTTCTAGAAAAGTCGCCTGTGACCCATTCAATCTTGTAGTACCTGCAGATGAGCTATATTGGATGTTTGCGGATCTGGATATGTCTGCGCCCACAGCCGAGGAGATCTGATTTAGCTCGACAGCATTATCGCCGTCTCGATCGCTAATTTGCTGCGCTACTTGAAGTTTCATATCATCTCCAGAATCTATGAGATTATTCTTGTCGAATTGAGCGTTCTCCATGCTCGGCTTACCATACAGAATGCGCGACTACTTTCGGAATAGAAAACCCAAATGCAAAGTGCGCGCAGTGAGAGTTCTTCAAGGTCCGTGCATTGTCGCTCGTAGTGCTGTAAATATTCACTGGCAATGTCATATTGACAGCCGAGGTGAAGCAGGCTCTAGTACTATCCCAAGTCGCGATAGACAATATCTTGTATACTCCGTAAGGGACAGCATGGCGATGTTGTATCATGAGAACGATTTGCAAGGTCACGAGTATGGCGTTGACGGAAATCTTCAAGCTTGGAAATGATACCCTGTGTGAGTGTTCGAGAGTAGCGCACTCCAATGGACATAAAAGCTTCGTTGGCAGCGCCAAATGAGCGCAAGGAGATATGGTGTAGACCATGGACATTGTTTACCGAGCTCGATCCTTGGGTTATGACTAATAGAAGTACTGTTGTTCACAGCTTGCCCCAGTGCCTTCATTTCAAAAAAACTCATCGCTCGGTCGTCCCTGCAATGCATTTAGTCGTATACTACAGCTGAGAATTGCTGCCTGCTCAAATAGTAGCCGTCAGACCAACCAACCAACACGCATTCGGTACGCCTTCAATTTGCGTGTGTGCCCACATCAGCTGTTCTCCACAACCAGTTAGAAGCACCGGACTGGAACCACCGTTATCGACTTACCAGCCCACCAATGTACACACCCATAGTCCCTCGAACGCGAACCCCGAAAGCAGCGGACGGGCTTGGGTGTAGTACCAGTTTCTGCATTACTTTTTGGAAGGTTCTTTCTCGATTTCACACCGCCTGGCCGAGGTCTGGAGCATGCAGATAGAGCTGTGAGAAGGCGATAGCTTCAGTGACTGCATTTAGAGTATTGTCGGTCATGTCCGAAATCGATAACGCAGCGTTGCGGCTAGCGGGAACTAGTAGGGCGTCGGAGTAACTTTCGATGAGGCTCGAGTGTGATTAGTGAAAAATCGCTGGTTAGTCGTCCAAAGTGGGCAATCCGGAGGTTGTGGAGAATGACGGCTCCATGGTGTGGGGTATCGGACGATGTCTAGCGTTGCAATCGACCGAGGCCCACTTCAACGAGAGCCTCATGGGTTCGAGACACGAAGTGCATATCGCGCCTATATAGTGCGAGGATGGTTAACAGACGCTGGAAAGACTAGTGATCTGTGAATATGTGTGATTCTATGCGCTAAGGAA